ACGGACTTCAGCACAATACAAAGATGTTTTCCAGCATGTCTTATTGAGTGCTCTAAGAAACAAAGAGTTTTGGTAGATAACATTCCCTAAGGTCTGAGACCTTTGGTCACTCTTATTCATTAGCTTCGTATTTCCTTGAGTTGTATATTGCCAAGCAGATTTTCTAGCTAAGATGGAGTTAGTCTTGCTGGTTTCACAGTACAGGGCTAATCTTGCTTTACAAGTTAGCCAGGCCCCTGACACTTTAGCTGTTTTTGAATCATCTTCAGCAAGATTTTACTGTATATGATATTAATGATATCATTTGATAATTTCCACATTCTGTTGGAGCACCATTTTTAAGGGCTAGGTAATGGGAACAAATATGGGTCTTCTCCAGTCCACTGACCAGGTAGTCTTCCAATTTTCTGGGCATAGACTAATGAACATAATCAGGGCTGCATTTGCTTGTTGAAACATGACCCCTGGTATTCCATCAATTCCTGGGACCTTATTTTTTTGCTGATGTACAGCTTGAACTTCTTCCTCCATGACCTTTGGTTCTTGATCACATACTGTTTCTTGAAATGGTTCAGTGTTGACAAATTCTTTTTCATACAGTGACTCTGTATTCCATTTATGTTTGTTGATGCCTTCATTATCCAATATTTGACCTCTAAGATCCTTTAATATTGCAGCTGGAGGCTTGAATTGGTGGTTCTAACAGTTTCCAGTGTTCTTCCCTTTTGATTTTCTAAGTCTAGTCTTGCACATTGTGTTACAGTATTCAGCTGTCTTCTCAAGCTGCCCTTTGAAATCTTCTCTTTGATTCCTTCCCTTTGTTTGGGCTTCTGTATATTGTAGTCTCTTCTGACATCCATTTTGGTCTTCTCTTTCTTAGCTGTTTTTTATAATGACCTTTTGCTTTTTTCTTTGCTTAATATCATCCCACAGATTTCTTCTTTGTTCATTAGTATCCAATGCGTTAAATCTGTTCTTGAGATGGTTTTTAAATTCAGTTGATACAGGCTCAAGGTCATATTATTTTTCTTATGGACTTGTTTTCATTTTCTCCAACTTCTGTTGGAACTTGTATATGAGAAATTGATCTATGACATAGTCAGTCCCTCACCCGGTTTTGACATCTGATATGGAACTTTCCCCATTAATTCTTTATATAGTTCATCTGATTCAGTCTATCGGGTGAGGTCCACGTGTATAGTTGCTATTTATGATTTTTGTAAAACTATTTGCAGTGAATATATAGTTGATAGTACAGAATTCTATAATTTTATCTCCAGTCTCATTTCTATCACCAAGGACATCTTTTCCAACTTGTTGTTATATGCCCTTGAGTCGCCTGTGACTCATAATGACTCTATGTACAGCAACCTCAAACCCTGCTCTACCTTGTGCCAACCTTATTGTCTCTGATACACCTTCCCCCATTACCCCAGTCACTGAATCGATCCATCTCACTGAGGGTCAACTACCTGTCAAAAAAATATTGGTACAAGTTCTCAGTTTCCTTATCTTTGGCTTTCATGGTTTGTGTGTGTATTTTGAAGAATAGTTGTATTGACAGTTATACCTTTTAGGTATATGGATAAATAGCTTCTGGCTCAGTGCCTTGTGCTGCAGGATAAATTGTGAAATGTTACTTTTGACCCAGAATGCAATGCCATTCTTCAGTTTATCATTTCAGGCACAATAGATCATGTGCTGTCTGATGTAAAGTGGTCGGTCAGTGCCAGTCTGTCTCCGCTCACTAATGCCTTGGGTCTATCTTTATGTGTTCCATTTAATTTTCGACAATTCACAAGTTTCCTAGATTGGTTCTTTATACAGTCCACATTCCAGTTATGAATGGGTGTTGACAGGTGTTTCTCCTCATGTTTTGCGTGCCTTCTAATCATAGGGTCTCACTTCCATTACTATGCTAACAGTATTCTTCTGTTATTCTTAGGGTCTTCATTGTCTTCCAGTGGGCCGGCAGATAAGCTGTCCCAGACCAAATAGTTCATTTCCATTTCCCATAGCTTGCTTGTTTGTTTGGTGATATTTATGTGCTTGCTTGCTATATAGTTTGCTGTGACGAGTGTTGCATCCACGTGTCACTTTGCTATATTGGAGGGTTGACTTTTGTCTTATTTTATAGGTTGCGTGTCTTTGTTCATAGTTTGCTTGTAACATACAGCACTTATCTGTCAGTTTGCTGTGCTAGAGTGATTTGCATGTTCCTTTGATGCTGGAAGCTGTACCACTAGTGTTTCAAAGACCAGCAGGGTCACCTAGGGTGGATAGGTTTCAGAGGGTCTTCCAGAAAAAGACAGACAAAGCAGCTGGATTCGTCATTGACTTCTAAAGTAAAAGGTCTTAAAAACCCTATTAATAATGAATGATCCAACATCAGTTTTCAGTCAGGCTGGCAATGAGTTTGAGTTTAAAATAAAACTGGTTGGAGGGAGGGTTGTCTATTGAATGCAAGTCCTTGCTTTCAGTTACCCTCAGTTGAGCTGAACATTCCTCAGTCTTGACAAAATTTGAGATGAGTGTCCTGACTCCTACCTGCTGAACCAGATAATTGTTCTGGGCTGAAAAGAATGAAACTGGGGATCCTGCTGCCAGTAGTGGTTTCTGGGGTTCTGGGGAATTTTTTCCCATTAGAGTCTTACAGTGTTTGCTAAATAATTGCTGACTGAAAGATGAGTAATGTCTCCTTGTGCAATTCACAGCTCTCCAAACCCACGCAAGGATTAGCTAGGAGAGGGCAGTGAGAGACTGTGGAAAATAGCAGGAATGGAAGGCAGGACTCTTGTACAGGAAGAGAGGGCAGTCTCTAGGGGCAAAAAGACTTAAAACAAAACCAAGCCACCGTGCACTGTGCCAGGCTGTGGGAACCAAGGCTCAGCTGACCTTCACTGATTCCCGTGGCCTGGGGAGAGATGGCTCATGATTCTCTCGTGGAGCCTCTGGTGGATTTGAACCACCAGAGATGCATGGCCTTGGGGGCAGCACCACAACTCTGGACTAGGCTTCTTAAGGATAAAAAGACTAGTGATTGTGAGGAAACAAAAACCAAAACATCCCACAAAACCTTATTGGAGTTGAGTCAGGACTAATGCATAGCTGACCCTCCAGTGGGTTTTCAGAGCCGACAAATTGTACAGGAGATGATGCCTGTCTCTCTCACATGGAGCAGCTGGTGAATTTGAACCATCTGTCTTACACACACAGCTCCTTACCTCCTAGGAAAGATGACTAGAAAATATTTTTTTTTAAGATACAGAAACTCAATAAGGATTTTTTTTTTAAGAATGATGACATTGATCATTCATGATATATTTTGGTAGACTTGCAGAGGGAACCTTACTGTCTAGCTAAGCTAAATAATTGTGACTTAACACTTACTGTCCCATTGACCCAGTATCATGATGAATGTTCATAGTCACAACAGGCTGCTTGCTGCCACATTTTGGCAAACAATCTGCGTTGTTCAGGCCTGGTTTAAATTGTTTTTTTGTCAAACATTCTTCCAAGTGGTATAGCACTGGTCTGTGCATTGCAGTACAGAGGTAACTCGTGGTTGCTGTGCTGCTGAACACCGTGACACTGATGTGTCAGATACGAGAAAAGGTTACCCAGGGTGGACAGTGTTGGGTGGAGCTTCCCGACTAAAACAAGCTTGGAAGCAGGAGTGGCATCCACTTCTGACATGGCTTGCCTCCAGAAACTCTATGAACAGTGCTCAGGTCTTTTGTTCATAGGGTCACTATGAGTTGTCTACAGCTCGAAGGCACCTAACAAAAGCAACAATGGTCACATAGAAGAGAAAAATCAGAGTGAACCTAGGTGCTAACCCAAAGGGCACTCTGCCCTTTTGGCTGGGCAGAGAGGGCGGGATTTCATTTGAGGTCTTCTTTGCTGTTAGCCTCCTGTTGACAGCTCAAGAGTGCCAGCTACTGTTCTGAAGGCCTGTGCAGGGTCTGCATCCAGGCATCTAGCACAGACCTTGGCTCGTGGTGGAGATTCAGTGAATCTCTGCTCACTAACTTCCTAGCTACTCTGGGGTGTATATTGTCTGTATTAAAAAGGCAACAGCATTCTCAGGTTCTAAATGTGTATAAACTTGGCAACACTGCCTTTTCTTTAAGCAGAAACCAGCCTTGTCTTTGCAAGAGACACACAGTTGTCTCGTGGCTGTTAACCTTCGTGTGTATGTCTATGTCTGTAGATGCATTACGTGTGATGTGTGTGGTTTATGTGTGGTGTGTGTGCTTTACTTGTGCTGTATGTGGTTAGTGTGTGTGATGTGTGTGACTTACATGTGATGTATGTGATGTGGTTTACCTGTGATATGTGTGGTCTAGGTGTGATGCACGTCGTTTGTGCCTCTTATGGATATATGTATATTGTTGTAAAGGTATATTGTGTACTTTTGAGTAGGAATCCACTAATACTTGACCCTGCAGTGGGTTTTCAGAGACAATACATTGCATGAGAGGAGACTGCCCATCTTTCTCCCACAGAGCATCGGGTGGATTTGAACCACTTGCCTTTGGCTTTGCCATGTGGCTCCTTACCACTAGGCCACCAGAGTGTCCTATGCATATCAGTCTACATACGACTATATATATATACTTACATGAATGCACACACACACACGAAGATCTCTGGTATAGTTCGTAGCACCTTACACTGTTAACCATGTGACCATATGGGGTTTGAATCCATCAACAACTTTATGGGGGAAATTTGTGAAGGTTTACAGCCTCAGGAATCTGCTAGAGGTTAGTTGGAAGTGAGAATCAACTTTATGGCGGTGAGTTTTAAAGATACATCGGTATAACATAGACACTTTGTATTTATGTGTATGAATAATACTCTGATGAGGACCAAGACGTGTGGTAAAAAGAAAGCAAATGTGTAACATTTTTTATGTTGCAGGTTTTAGGAAAACGTTAATGTTTGTGCTTCTATTTCAGCAATTTAAGCAATCTTTCTTTCCCTTTTCCCCTTAGAACTTTCTCTTACTGGATGAGATATCTCAGCGCAACATTCAGCTGCCGCCAGATGGTAAAACCATCGTGAACGTACAAGATTTAACTGCCTTTTGGGATAAGGTAACAAATCTTCCACTACACGGCCATATGGCTCGTGGAGAGCTTCGCACATCGATGCAGTGTACACGTTGTGAAGTGTGATTTGCAACTTAATGAATGTTATGCTGTCAAAGCTCTCAAAATCGGAAATAAAGATTTCAGTTACTAGATAGGAAGTCTGCATAAGGTGCTTCACAAGTTGCTCTTTCTCTAGTTTTCACAGAACCTGAAAAGTGGTAACTTATTTTTGAAGTTGGTGCATATCAGCTTAGGTGTTTACAATGCTGGGACTGGGCAGACCAGTGACAGAGCATTGAAAGGGTTGGTTGAATGGATTAGTGAATAATCCAGTTATTAAGTGTTACAGGTGAGAGGTTTTGGAGAATGGTGCACGCTTTTACCGTAATCTTAGCAGATCATCTCATTGTGTATAAGGATAGGCCCTGGATTTGCATTTTCCTGGGTGGGATTGGAGCCGCCCTATTGTAATCCCTATGGATTGCACTACTCTCTTTGGTGTGGCAGCCAGGGGCATCCAAGTGGCAAAGTGAATGCCATCAGTTTCCAAGGATCTGTGTGGCAGGCTGGTAGAACAGGTAGGACAGCATGCATTTTTTAATGCTCATTTTTTATTTTGGGCAACCTGATAAAACAGGGCCACTTTTCAGACACTTGACAAACTTGCAGCCTCAGCCCATCTTTCACTTTCTGTACGTGCCATCCCATTGTCTTCTTGCTCGCGTGGTTTCTGCTGAGAAATCAGAACTTATAATCTAATTGCTTTTCCTTTGTAGGTGACTCTTTGTTTTTCTCATGCTGCTTTTAGTGTAGAATACTTTAGTATAGAATCCTTACCTTTTATTTTGGAGAATTTGACCATGATAGGTTTGCTGAGCCTCTTCAATGTGGATTTCCTCGTTCTTTGTAATACCTTGGAAGTAGCTCTGACGCAGTGGCAAGAAGCTGTGCTGCAGTCATGAAGGAACGCGGTTCAGGGCCACCAGCTGCTCCAGGGAGAAGGATGTGCCATTAACTGCTTCTGAAAACCCACCGGAGGGTCAACTATCGATCATTTCTGACTTGATGGTACACAGAGACAAACAACCTCTTCTACAGTTTTCTCAATGATTTACCAGTTCCCCTCATGTTCGGGAATTCCAGTCGTACATGTGCTGTTCTCACATGATTCTAATGTTTTCTTCATTCTCTGTCTCATCTTTGATTTTTCTTCTGCTATGTTTCCATTGAGGTTCTTGTCTTCCAGTTCACTGACTCTCTGCTCCATCTCTTCTGTTCTATTATTTTGTCCCTCCAGCATGCTGGACACTTCTGCCATTTTCATCTCAATATTCTGTATTGCATTTTCATACATTTCTGTTATTTCCAGTGCTGTGTTGGCTGTACCATCTTGTGATTTTTTTTTCTTCTTTTCTGAGTACAGTGTACTTTATTGATGGCACATGACAAGGTGGGCTCCCCAAGCCCCTCCCCTTTCTCAGGAGTACTGGGTGGAAACTGTCAAGGATGTGAGAGTCTCAGTGTGTGGGAGGATCAGGTTGGGACAAGGACTCCCCAGCAGCTGAGGGTCTCTCTCTCTCTTCGAGTGCTGTTGCTGGGGCTGGTGGTCCAAGGGGCTCTTATTCTTTGGAGGCCATGTGAACCATCAGGTCGACCACCTGATTAGTTTAAACTCTTTGTTCCATCTTTTGCATTTTCTTGCGTAGTTGTGTGAATTCCTCCTCATCAATATATTTCTTTTGTCTCCCTGTCCCTGGAGTATTTGCTTTCTTAATGGCTTCCATTATTTTTCCATCATTTGCATCTTCTTCTATAGCTGTTCAAATAACTCTATCAATATATTTCTTCTAGTTCCTACCTCTAGGATATTTCCTTTATTTGTGGGTGGCCTAGTGGCAAGAAGCTGCACTGCAGTCCCAAAAGCACCTGGTTCTAATCTAGCAGCTGCTCCGTGGGAGAAGGATGGACAGTCTCCTCTTGTGCGATTAACTGCCTCTGAAAACCCACTGGAGGGTCAGCTGTGCGCTTGGTTCTGACTTGATGGTACACAGCAACATTGTTTCTTCCATCATCTGTACTTTTTTGATAGCTGTTTGAACACTTCCCTATCAACATATATCTTCTGCCTCCTTGACTCTGGGATGTTCCCTGGGTCTGCAGTGTTCTCTGTTTTTTTTGGAGCAGGCTTGGTTTGTTTTATTACAGTGTTTGAAGCTGCTTGCAGCTTTCTTGACATTATGTGAAGTTTTTCTTAATAAGTGTTTGGCTATTCCTATTGTGTCTGCATAAATTTTTGGTACTTCTTATCTTTATGGCTATTGAGGAGTTGACAGCTTAAAATATTCAAGCTGTGGAGTAATCCAGTCTCTCTCTTGAAAGTCCTTTCAGGGGAAATTGCCTTTCCTAAAGTCCCTGGTCTGTGCTGCAGCCCTGTGGGAATTTCGACTTACTGTCCCCTCTTCCAAGCTCTGCTGTCCTCCCTTGTCTAAGGAGTAGCTGAGTGGTCCTCTGCTGTCCTCCCTTATCTAAGGAGAGGCTGAGTGGTCCTCTGCTGTCCTTCCTTGTCTAAGGAGAGGCTGAGTGGTGTGAGGCCAGGCCCTCCACCTGAGCAGTTTCTATCCAGGGAGTTTCAAGTCATCTCTTTCTCCCACAGTTCAGTTTATATGTTGTGGTTTTTTTTTAAAAGAAGATATTTGCAATGACGACATCATTACTTGTACCGAATTCTAGCATTTGGTCTCTAGCCTCATTCCTGTCACCACAGCCAACTCCTAATCCTTGTCTGTTTCCGACTTCGCAATCTAGTCACTAGTTATTATCATGTTCAGTCACTTTCAGGCTGCAGAAGTTGGTGCAAGTCTTCATTTCTTTATCTTTGATGCGTTTACTTGAGTAACAGTTGTATTAATGGTTGTGTGTATATGGGGAGCATCCTTTTACAGCATTGTGTTGAGGCTGGATCTTCTGAACTATGACTACAATGCCATTTCCCCCAGTTTGTTGTTACCATCATAATAGATCACGTGGTTGTCTGAGTCCAAGTGGCTAATACCAGTCCATCTTCGCTAATTCCTAAGATACTGTTCCTTCTGGGTTCCATTTTATTTTGACAACTTCCAAATTTCTCTTTTATTTTTTTTAAATTTTATTTTATTAATTTTAGTGAACATTTACAGAGATTTTACATTCATTCATTGTTGCACTTTTCTCCCTGCCCAGCCTTCCCTCCCCCCCCAGCTTCCAATTTTCATAGATTCATACTTTGTACATTCTATTTTCTAGTTATTAAGGGCTGTTTTGATCTGTTTCTCTTCCTTTTTTAATGGTTTCCTATCTGTGAGGCTCTATTTTTGTTGCTGTACCTTTCTATGCTTCACTGTTACTCACAGAGTTTTTAGTGATCTGCTGGTGTCTCTCTGGCGACTAAGGTGCATCTGATACAGGCCATGGTCTTTGCAATCACTTGTTATGCATCAGAGAGTTGGACAATGACCAAGGAGGATAGAAGGAGAATTGATGGCTTTGAGCTGTGGTGCTGGAGAAGAGTATTGAGAATACCATGGACTGCTAGGAAGACAAACAGGTTTGTCCTGGAAAGGGTTAAACCGGGTGGCTCTTTGGAGGCAAGGATTCTGAGGCTCCGTCTAACATACTTTGGACATATTGTGAGAAGAGACCAGTCCTTGGAGAGGGACATAATGCTGGGGAGGGTGGAGGGACAGCGCAGGAGGGGAAGGCCCTCTTTGGGGTGGATTAATTCAGTGACTGGGGTAATCAGGATGGGAGTGTCAGAGATAGTGCGATTGGCAAAGGACAGAGCAGGATTTAGGGCTCTTGTACATAGGGTCGCTATGAGTTGCAAGCGACTCGACGGCACATAACAACAACCAACTATTTCAGATGTTTATGGCAAATCTCCCTTTCTCTGGAAGCTCCCTTGAAACCCGTCCACCATGCATTACCCTGCTGGTATTTGAAATCTTTGTGGTGTAATTTCCGGCATAATAGCAACCTGTCATTCCATCAGGTAAAACATACTGACAGACAAGTGCTGCATGCATAACAGCTGTTGTTATAAACAAGGAAGCATAAATGTATACAAACCATAACATTAGTAAACAGCATCAGAGCAACATGTGTTCACCTCCTTATTGTAGCAAACTTAAAAGTAAGTGGTGTATCTGTAAGACCAAAATATAAAACAAGCATACAGGTAAGTATCTTAAAGCAGGCATGGGTATTATAGGAGATAAGGTACGAATGGTCTGACCAGAGACAACATATCTGCCAGCCCAGCAGAAGACTAGCATTGGGGTGCTCTGTTATGTCAGATTTTCTGTTCGTCTAACTGAAGCCCCAGGACGTGAGCCAGCACATGGTGGTCCTGCCTCTGGTGCAGGGTGTGTTGAGGGCGTGTTAAGAGGTAGGGCACCTAGCTTGGGGCAGAGTTTCTGCTGGCTTTAGAAGAGCCTCGGCTCGTGTATCTGGCTACATAGGGCATGGTTGCCAGTCTCGGGGATGGGGAAGACAGTCACTGCTGATGTGACTTGTTCACGTGAGGCCATAGGTGACCATGGAATGAGTGGGAAGTGTCCAGTAAGGGAGAAGGTCCCCAAATCAGGAGGTGCTCCCACTGATCCAGGGGCTGATTGTTGGCTGGGCGTGGCACAGTCCACATCTTCTAGGAGGGATACTCGGGCAGCTCCCAGCTCCAGAGGTGACCAGTGTAAAGCTGGGTCTTGGTAAGGGCACATGGGTTGTAGTCGAAACAGGGTGGGCATAATAGGTGGCAGGACATGTAGGGAGATTAGACGTCTTCAGCTGCTCTGGATTCCTCAGCTGATGCCGCTGTCATCCTGAGACTTGTTATCATGTACTGTTCAGTCAGAATAGACTCATAGCTTGGCTCTCCAGCGTGTTTTCAGAGGCTGCAAATATTATGGGAGGAGATTGCCTATCTTTCTCCCAGCAGCTGGTGGATTTGAACTTTGTGACTTCGAATT